AAAAATCGATGGTGATCGATTTTGGTTGGCAATCGATTGATAAAAAAAAAATCGATTACCATCGATTTTTTCTAATCAATGGTAATCAATTCTCAGTTGATAATTGATTGCCAACCTGGTTTAAAATTTCGTGATATAGTTACTAATTCTGTTTTAGAAGCGGAACTTAGAAGGAATAAAATCTCTTCAGATAAACCAATTAGATTATTTGATTTGCTTCTATGCTTAGAAAATGATATAGTGACAATTCAGGAAAAAATCAGTATTGTTGGATATACTAATCAAGAAATAGTAGAAGAAGCTGATAAAAATGCAAGAGTGTATCTCTGAAAGTTTGAGAAATTTCACGATCTGTTAGAAGATGTTCCAAGTGTATTAATACAGAAATTCATTGACAAGAGGGTAAAAATGTTTTATTTTACTGAAGAAGGACTCCCATTATTTCTGAATGTTTCTCCTCAACAATTACACAAAATTTTCGTAAAAAATTATGCTAACACCGATCAGTGTCCATGTCTAGAATCAAAAGTAAAGAAGGGAAAATTATCACAGAATAATACACATCCTGTGATATTATTTAATAATGTATAATATAACTGAAAAAATAACTTGGTAAATAATTAACTATTCTCCACTACTAAATATAATCATTTATAACCCGTGTTGGAGGATTCTCTCTGAGATGATTAATAATTGCAGAAATAAGATCTGTTTCATCTGATATATGACTCAAATAGTAGTCTCTAAAGGTCCTGGTTATAGCTATCCCATTTCATCGACCAGAATCAAAAAAGGAGAATTCATCATCAGAATAATCTGGAATAAGTGGGGATAGATCAGAATCTGAGAATTCATTATCAGAATAAACTGGATGTTTAATTTTAATTTTTGAATTAAGTTTCTTTATCACTTCTTCGCTAATCCCTTTACATCCCTCCAAACTAAGATATTTCAAATTAGTACAATTGCGGGCTATTTCCTCAAGAGCTTTATTATTAATCGAACAATCACCAAACTCAAGATGTTTAAGTTTTGGACAAGAATGCACTATTTCAGTGATACATCGATTAGTGAGACATATATATGAATTAAGACTCAGATGTAACAACTTTGAGCAATATCTTGCAATTTCTATAATTGGTATATTAGTGAAATCCTTACTTTTATCAAGAATAAGAGTGCGTATATCTGGGCACAAGCGTAGAATCGTACTAATCAATGCATCTGAGATTTTTAAACCTTCTAACTTGAGATATACCATCTTTGAACAATAGAGAGATTTTGTCTTTTCACACATAACTCTTTTAAACTTCATTAATCGCCAATAAAGAGGTCTGGATGTATTTTTTTCACACTGATCTTGCTGATAATCTTCTATAGAAAACTCAACTCTCCTCTATAGAATAGGAGCACCGCAGTGATACCAAAACCAATTAACAAACAAAGTGGGATAGAGAGATCGATCGATTTCTAAAAAATATAAGATCTGTTCTAGTAATTCCAGTAAATTAAAAATACTTAGACCCTTTGGATCATTACTCCGCAATAGTTGCGCCATTCTCAATAATATATATATATTATATATCTTTAATCGAAAAAACCAATGCTTGAATAATTAATTTAGGTATATATATTATTTATTTTCTGGATATTCTCAACCATACTTAACTTTGCAACCAGCTCATCTAATGATAAGTCTGTTCCGCATCTTCTGGCTTCCATCTGGTTATCAGGTAACAATTCACAGAGGAAGTATTCCTTAAGGTAAATTTTGTTATTATTTACTCCCAATGCTGTTATGTAATATTCCACTATCTTATAATATTCTTTTACTGGTAAGGATATTTGTTTTGGTGACAGGAACTCTCGTGGAATATCCAATAATATATCAGTTCCATTAAGCAATGTGAGAGTATGATTGGGAAAATTCATTTCAGATATATTTGCCTGAATCCATGGTGAACCTAATAACAGGACATGTGCAAATTCGGGTTTATTAGAAACTAAAATATTGTTAACTTCTATTTGTTTCCAGTTATTATCTTTAGACTGGAAAGAGGGGTTTATTTTATGAACTATTCCCAATATTGGTATGCTATCTTCTATAGTCTCACAACGTGAGGATGATATTGCATCTAAATTATTTGCGATTTTTCAGATGGAAAAGAGATTAATAGTTTTGCTTCTTCTTTATGAGAAGTATCAATCTCTAAGCCTAGTACATCTACTAAACCCCCGCCTATAATATTACAATTGCTGGCGGTATCTAGTATAGTTTTAACTGGTACTTTGTTAATTTCACAAGATAAAATTCTCATCGTGATGTTTTATTATAACAATATATTTAATTATATTTTTTGTGTATTAATAAATAATAATTCCACATTTACAATGACTAAAGATAATATCAACAGAGCTGGCACGGCCAATGCTATCTCGTCTCAAGAATTTTGTAAAGAGTTAGATGCATCAATCAATTTGCAAGAATTACGTGGATGTATCGAAACAATAACCAAGTCTTTAACAGATCAGCAGAATACTATTGGGGTAATATCCAGTATTCGTAGGCAATCCGAGATTCAGCAAAATATTATAAACGCGATAGCAAATCCGGATATTTCTCGGCAACATATTCCATGCAAAGCTAGAAAAAAACCAATTTTTAACAATACCGCACCTGGGTCCTCATCCGCATCTGAATCTGGGTCTGAGTTTGAATCGTCTAATGATGATAAAGATTTTACTGTGAAAGTGGTGAAAGCAAAGAAGCGTGATTAGTAATTGTATAAGTCTATATCCTTGACTTTATCATTCTCTTGCTTAGGTACTGGAATAATTAGTCTATTATTCATTATACCATAATGATCTGATGCGATATTAATTACCTTCTGTCTTAATGCCAATTGACTGAGATGTTTACAATAAGCATCGTTCTTATCTCCATGAATTGTAATAGCATGTTCAGAATCAATTTTTCTCAAATGTGATGAGCTTATTCTATAAATTGCTAGAAAATTATTAATTGGGTGGACGTTTACATCACCATCTTTATCTCTTATTAAAAATGGGAATTTATTAGGAATTGCTTTCTGAATTCAAATAAGTAATTCTCTAGCCAGTAGTGGATCTTTTTCCATAGATACTAATGATCTAGGTTCGTCTTTTTTATTTTTGGCATATCCAGTGCAATACCAAGAATATTTAGGATTATACCATTCAGTAGTATCTGCTTTATAATACTTAATATAGAGGTTTCTCATATCTGCTGGTCTCATATATAACATTATTATTATATCGATTAAATTTTGCATAGAGGAAGATTTTGTTATATCACACTTACTAAGTTTTTCCTGAACATTTTTCAGATAAAAGAATTCTGGACAATCGAACTCCTCATCTTCACGGAGTTCCTGATTTATTGCTTGTTCTTTATTTGATTTTTGAGTAATATCGGGTATATATATTGCTTTTATTGTAAGATATTTAGCATTAAGTATATGCAATTTTTTCGAAGCAATTTAAGACATGAAAATTGAGCTATTACAATAGGAGCTGTTTTAGCTAAGTTATATGCTAGCGTATTTATCTCTTCAGGTTCAAGATTATCTTCATTTTCCTTAATATATTGAGCGAGCTTTTCAATCAGATCTCATCCTGTAACACGCCTCCTAGAAGCCTGGATAGAAATTAAAGCATATGTTTGATCTTTATTAAATCCTAACTTCTGGATTCTATTTCGAGCGTGATTACGAGCTTTATAATCTTTTAATTCTTTACATATTTTTTCA